TTTAGGTTAAGTAACAGGTTATGGTAGATTACTCCCCCTACTGGTAGAAACAGGTAATATAAATGAATAATTTCATACTTCTAAACAAAGGGAGAGATAGAAGTTTTATAAAACAGACTCAGTTCAAACTAAAGTAGGAGTAACATGCTTATTGTGGATCATTCTAAAGAAAAGAATTGGTCAGAGAATCAGAAGTCAAAGAGGCTTGGGAAAGTTTCATTTAAGAAATGTATAACAAGAGGCTGATACTCTCAAAAAAGCCTCTGGAGGCTATTGTAATAAGATATAAAACACTACATTTGTTCTTTAAAAATATATCTTTACCTTCAGCTATTTTTAAAAAGCCAGCTTTTAAAATTCATGTTTAGTTTGACAGAAGTCTGTATAAACAAGTTGATAAGTACATTAGCGTCAACATCCTAACAGATTGCATATAAGTATATACAAGTTAATTTCTCAAAAGACTATAGTGTGACCTACCTTTATGAAAATAACAGTAAGTTGTTCACTGTTTACGTGGTCAGCTATTTATGGAAACGTTAGACTTTATACCCATTATCTTGGGGATTTGGGGGGACCAGCTGCAGGTGAGAGGTGGCAGCAGCAGGGCTACACCAGCTGTGCTTAGAGCTTACTTCTCCCTCTGTGCTCAAGGTTCACTCTGTTGAGACGTGGGGGTGAGCGGAGACATATACGGTGCAGGGAATTGAACCTAGTTGTGCCAGGCAAGCGGCTTACCTGCTGTACTCTCTCAGGCCTCAATTCCCATTATGTCAAGATTTGAATCCATAGACTAAGAGAAGCATCCAGTCAACAAGTATGATGGTGCCAACTTCTGTTTTTTACCAGGCTACAAATTATTGAAATCATATTTTATGTCGGATGACATAAAAAATCTGTTAGGGCAAAATGGCTTTTCGTTTTTACAGTTTATATATAAATTACTAAACTTAGTTACTCTCACTTTATTGGGATAAGTACTTCAGAAGGGCCTTTTTATGAGTCATAGGGAAAAGAGGATTTTAGGAGGAAGTGGTGTTTTAAAGCTAATGTGCTAAAGATCTATCTGAAAAGTGGCTCAACTTCTTTGGTCTTTTCATTATTCTGTGTCATGCTACGTTGAAATTTTTGATATTCTTTGGTAAAAGTTACAGGATTCCCCACCCCCCACCCCCACCCTTCCTATAACCAGCAAGGAGTACCAGACCCACTCGTGGTATTGCAAGTTCAAATTTGCTTGGTCCTTTCCAAGCACTGTTAGGTTGGGTGGAGTCTGGTATCTGTATTTTAATTTCAACATTAAAATTCTAGAAAGCACTCCGTTGAAAACCAACGAGGTAAAAAATCATCCAAGGCTTAACTTAAAATAAGAAGGGAAACAATGAGGTCTTTTAGTAGAGAAATTCTTGTCTTAAGAAATGGCCAGGGCACCACTGGGTGTGACATACACAAAAAAAGAGTCAGAGGACATTTGTTCAGGAATTTCTGAGTAGTAACAGTTGACTTCCATACTATTTGTAATCTCAAAAAATCTATAGAAGGAAATTTATTCTGGGGGTAAAGTAAAGTAAAGGCCCTCCCGTTGTTCATCGATTTGCTCGAGCGGGCCCAGTAACGTCTCCATTGGAGATTTTGTTGTTACTGTGTTTGGCATATCGAATACATCACGGGTAGCTTGCCAGGCTCTGGCGTGTGGGCGAGATACTCTCAGTAGCTTGCCAGGCTCTCCGAGAGGGGCAGAGGAATCGAACTCGGGTCGGCCATGTTGGCTGCGTGCAAGGCAAACGCCCTACCGCTGTGCTATCGCTCCAGCCCCATTCTGGGGGTAAATGAACATTAATATTGTAGTGTATTTTCTTGTATTGGAAGGATTTTCAAATGTCTTCATTTATTTAAATCTGTGAATAGATGTAATAGCACCAAGAGTTCAAAACACCACACGTTTTCCTTTCTTAAACTTGGTGATAGTACAGCAGGTCGGGTGTTTGCTTTGCACATGTCCAACCGGGATCCCTGGCATCCCATATGGTACCCCAAGTGCCACCAGAAGTCATTACTGAGTGCAGGGCCAGGAGTAACCACTGAATATCACTGGCTGTGACCCAAAAAGCAAAGGAAAAAGTAGAAAAGTCCCCAGTAATCTAGTTAGAGTAAGGATCATTTCGGGCATATAAAACTTGTTTCATTCTATACATTAATCAAAATTTCCCTTTGCTGTCTATTATCTAGGATGACTCTTAAGGGAATATGAACTGAAGAAAACAATAATATAAAATGTAGTAACTTAGCAATTTTCTAAGGAAATTGTATATCATTCAGAGTTTTTTTTACACTTGTTTGTGAATTCAAAAGAAAGCTGGAAATGATCACCAGAACAATAGTACAGTGGGTAGGGTGTTTGCCTTGCATGTGGCTGACCCGTGTTTGATCCCGGTATCCCATATCGTCCCTTGAGCACCACCGGGAATGTTTCCTGAGTGCCATCAGGTGTCACCCAAAAAGTCAGATAAGATGAAACAAATATGGGGCAGATATAGAGTACAAAGAAGAGTACAAAGAGTTAAGGCTTTGCATCCTACTATCCTTGGACAAATCCTCCAGCAATGTCCAGGGTCACTCCTGAGTACAGATTAAAAAATAGCCCCAGAGCACAAAAAATCCTAAAAATCAGACATAATACTCTTAAAAATTGTTAAAATATATTTCCTTATTTACATACACCAGAGGCAACATAGCTGTTGGAGAAACTGGGTCAAAAAATATTTCTCCAACTTTCCTAAATTACAGATTATTTTTCATTGTGATTTTTACTTACGTTTTTAGTAGAAAGGTTAACATTTCCATTACTCCTTGTTAACATCTATTTGTCAGACTTAAAAAAATGTGGGTGCCAAAGCTGCACAGCGGGTAAAGTGCTTGGCCTTATATACATGGTCAGCCCGAATTTGATCCATATGGTTTCCCGAGCCCCACCAGTAGTGAGCCCTGAGCACAGCTGTGTGTGCACCCCGCCACCTCCCTGCCTCCACCCCCACCTTCCCATTGTCAGTCTGGTGTATTATGTGAAAGGATATCCTTCGTCTTAAATTTCTTTACTAATGAAATGGGCAACTTACGTGGTTTTAAAGCCATTCAGGTTTCTTCTTAAATGTATTCTTTTTCAGCTATTTGATTTTTATACAATGAGATTGTCTTTTTGGATTTATAGGAGTTCCATAAAATGTTTTCCCCGATACTTTTTGTATAATTGGGTTTTTATGCTTGTTTTTTTAAATTTCCTGCTTTCTGATATCAAAGACATCTTCCTATGTTCCCGATACTCTGCTTGCCCTAGTAATCACCTCTCTCACGCTCCCCTCTGCCCCATTTTAGTTTTAATGTCTAACAAGGCAGACCACGGGGTTTCTTTTTCCAGATCTTTTTTGTTTGGTTGGTTTTGGTTTGGGGGCCACTTTGTGACACGTAGGGTTTATTTCTGTCTCCTCAGTGCTACAGTCCTGGTAGTGCTCCAGGACTGTTTGTGTTGTCTGATCAAACAAGGGTCAGCCACTTAGGTATAAGGCATGCACCTTAGCTTCTGTGCTCTCTCTTTGGTCCTCTCTTCCAGAATTAAGTATGAGAATTTGTTAATACTTCATATGTTGAGTCTGTGTAAATAACTTGCAATGGCAGCTTTCAGATAATGACTTTTTTTTTCTTTTTGAGTGATGCTTAGGGGTTTCTCCTGGCTCTGCACTCAGGAATTACTCCTGGCGGTGCTCGGGGGACCATATGGAATGCTGGGGATTAAACCCAGGTCGGCCATGTGCAAGGCAAATGCCCTACCTGCTGTGCTATTGCTCCGGCCTCTACATAATAACATTTTAATGCATACTTCTGAATACAGATCTATATGGGATTTTTTTGTAATTTTGTGTCTGGTTTTGCTGTCGAAATGGTTTTTAGTTTTAATAATCTTTAAATCTTAGAAGAATTCTTTGTTTTATACATTTAATTATAAGAGTGGTATATCATTTCTAAAATAAAGGGAACCTTCTCATTATCAAAAATTTGATCCGCCGAATGTGATGGTGCCTTGCTTGATTTGTATGAAAGCTTTTGCCATATTTAGTTGTTATTTGTGGCTATTTGTAAATATTCCAGCTTAAGTTATTTTATCAGACATAGTACTGTAGTACTGTCCTCCTATTGTTCATTGATTTGCTTGAGCAGGCACCAGTAACGTCTCCATTGTGAGACTTGTTACTGTTTTTGGCATATCGAATTCACCACGGGGGCTCTCTGAGAGGGGCGGAGGAATCGGACCCAGGTTGACCGCTTGCAAGGCAAACACCCTACCCACTGTGCTGTCGCATAAAATTCTAAATTTTTATCAGACATAAGTTAGATTTCTGGAGAATTATATTGTTCCTTTATCCTAATAAAGTTTTTTAAAAACTTACTTTTAGACTTTTGAGCTACACCCAGTGATTCTCAGGGTTACTCCTGGCTTTGTGCTGAGGAATTACTTGTGGCAGTGCTATCCCATCAGTGCTCAGGCAGTATTCATAGTAATACTATATTTGTAACCCCAAATAAAGCCTATTTTAAGATGTAGCTAAAACCTAACTGCTCAAGTGCCAGAAAAGATGGTACAGCACTCCTGACACCATACTCATCACTGGGGATTGTCCTAAAGCAAAAACAAGTTGTTCAGAATAGTATTACTTGTCTGCAGAGTATAAATTTAAATCATGGGTGTGATTAAACTATTACTGTTTTACCAGACACTATAGTTTCTGTTTTATGTTCAGTCTTCTTACCTGTGAAATTGGGATATAGTGTAAAATAAATTTACAGGGCGTCTGTATCTGCATGAACCCCATCCCATGGAAAGACTAACTGAGTCTACTGTGTTAAGTGCCTGGTACATGGAAGTTGTTGATTTGAGATTGGCTTTTGGTTTTTCTCTATTCAAATGGTGTTTTTTTTCAGCCCTTTTATCTTTCTCTTTTATGTAGAATCTGCATCTGGAGACAAAACTGTATCCCATTCTTGCACAACTCCTTCCACATCTTCTGCCTCTGGACTGAACCCCACATCAGCACCCCCAACATCTGCTTCAGCAATCCCTGTTTCTCCTGTCCCACAGTCTCCAATACCTCCATTACTTCAGGACCCAAATCTTCTTAGACAGTTGCTTCCTGCTTTGCAAGCCACGCTTCAACTTAATAATTCTAATGTGGACATATCCAAAATAAATGAAGGTAAATTTTTATAGTAGGTTTACAAAACATTTTGTGTTGTGCAAATTATGTGATTAGTAAAGCCCCTAATTTAGGTATACTTGTTTCATTTTTATGTTAACATTTGAACTTTGTTTTGAAACTTCCAAACTTCTTTTAAAATTTTGTTTTGAATCTTCACTGAGTGTTTTTCAAGGCTTAATATGTACCTAAAAAGTTATTATTTATTTATAGGTTTTGTAGTTAAAAGTACTTATTAAAACTAATTTTAAAAATTTCATTTCTAGTAGGTTTTAGATTCTCCTATAAATGGGTAAATGATTGTTTGAAATTTTAATGTAATTTCTAAGAATAGAAATATAGGTAAATCTTCCATGATAGTGTAATAGAAAATAATTTTGAGTAGTAATAATGGGATAATACTTTGCTATTTTTCTAATTGCAATTTGTATTCTAACTTTGCTTTATAATATTGTAGTTTGTGGAGCCAGTAGCACAGTGGGTAGGATGTTTGCCTTATACACTGCTGACCGGGCTGACCCGGGTTCGATTCCTCTGCCCCTCTCGGAGAGCCCAGCAGGCTACCGAGAGTATCCCTCCTGCACGGCAAAGCCTGGCAAGCTACCTGTGATGTATTTGATATGCCAAACACAGTAACAAGTCTCACAGTGGAGACGTTACTGGTGCCCACTCAAGCAAATTGATGAACGGGAGGACAGTAGTCACTGACTCCAGTTAAGGCTGAATAAAGTGTAATTTTAATTCATAAGCCATTTAGATTCACACGCTGAATAATAAGAGCATGCTTAAATTTTTCTATATCATTTACAGTTTTATATTTGTAATGTATAACTATATAACATATATAGTTATTGGTGTTGCTGAGTGGTTAATTTCTTCTGCAATTAGGCTTGCTGGTCATTAGTCTTAATTGACCTTATCTTCTCTGTAATTGGGTTTTATTTTTTACGATTTAATACCACTCTTGTGCTGGTGAGAGAGAGCTCAATGGGCTAGAGCTTATGTTACAAGCAATGTGTTTCCCAACTTTTTGTGGTCCTCTGAGCACTGCAGCTATGATCCCTGCTTCCCCTCTGACCTCTAAGCATTAAACTAGGAGTGGTAACTTCAGGACTGCTGGGTGTGCTCCCAAAATCTGTATTTAATTATGCCATTTTCTTGTTTGATGAATGTTTTGATAGGCATATGAGAGCTATGTTGGATAGGTTAAGGAAGAATAACACAACCCTGTTAATAACTCTCCATGCTTTGAAAATACCTGATATTCTAGACTACACACCAGTTTTATTTGTATATACATACTAATTTGTTGTGAAGTAAGTGTGGATTTAGGTTTTAAATGATTAGTTTGTGTATCAAATACCTGTTTAGTGCTAAGTAATGTGCCAAGCATATCACCTAGATACAATAGGTTTCTAGTATAAGTTCCAATGAAGAGACTTTAATGAAGTCATAAAGGGATTTTCTTTTAACTAACACACAAAGTTTAGTGTGAAGGGAATTACTGTTTGACTATCATAAACATATTAAATACTTGTTCCTGTGCTTTATTTCAAATCTTTATACCTTTTGTATATTCTGCTTTGTAAACTTTTGGAGTTTTTATTTGAAACACTCTTTTCTGAGTTTTTTTTAGTTTTTGAAAGTTGTTACTAATGTCTGTGTTTAATTTATGTTTTCTTAGTTCTTACAGCTGCTGTGACACAAGCGTCATTGCAGTCTATAATTCATAAGTTTCTTACTGCTGGACCATCTGCTTTCAACATGACTTCTCTGATATCTCAGGCTGCTCAGCTCTCCACACAAGGTATTTATACTCTTAAAAATTGGTATCTTAATTAATATTTACTGTGTACTGTTTTAGCCTTTGAAGAGATTACCTCAATATTTTATTTCCCCTTTTTTCCCACCCTTTTTGGGTCACGCCTGACAATGCACAGGGGTTACTCCTGGCTCATGCACTCAGGAATTAACTCCTGGCTGTGCTCAGGGGACCTTTTGGGATGCTGGAAATCGAACCCAGGTCGGCCACATGCAAGGCAAACGCCCTACCTACTGTGCTATCTCTCTAGCCACCAGATTTTGTATTTTTGATTTTTTTAATAACTACAGTGAATTTTTTTGTTTTTGGGTCATACCTGGTGAAGTTCAAGGATAATTCTTCCTGGTGTGCTTAGAGGACCATATGGGGACCAGGGATCAAATCTGGGTCAGCCACATACAAGGCAAGCACCTACCGCTGTAGTATCTAACCCCTACAGAAATTTTTTTCCCCCATACTTATCTTTGTGTTGCCATCATATAAGTTTATGATACATATTTAATTCAGGACTTACTGAAATAGTTGGCTCCAAATACATTCAGTATAAGTAAAACAGTGTATTTAAGAGTGGATTTTGGTCTCAAACTGATGAGAGTTTAGAGTTTTTGTTTAGAGTTACAGAAATCTGCGAGTTCTGTTTTAATGTAGCTATCTCTCTTCTCTGAGTATATCTGATGGAAAGAAACACTAAAGAAATGAAGGCGGGGATGGTGCTGTGCTAACGTGCTTCATTAGACTTGTTCCTCAGACCCAAGAACATTGATACAGGAATTCCTGATGTAAAAGTAAAATAGTGAAAGTACTTCAGCAACTTTCTGGCTGATCTAAGGAAGACACTACCAAGACTTAGAAAAGACTGAGGAGTGAAGATGAGAAATAAAAAGCCTGCCGGTGTGTGAAGAGATCATGGCTTATGTTCTTGGTCCAGTGTGAAGAATTAGCATTACACTAGTATAGTGGTATGCTTATCTAGCGAAATCAGCGTGGCATCATTGAATATCTCAGACTCTGACTTAATAAATTTTCTTTTGAATGGGGATTTAGGGGGCAGAGGACGCAGGATGAGGAATATGGAAAGATGCTGAATTCTCTAACATATATTACAAAGGGTTTTTGGTTTCTTCGAAATCATTTGCTTCTCTTTTCTTTACAGCTCAGCCATCTAATCAATCTCCAATGTCTTTAACGTCTGATGCATCGTCCCCAAGATCATATGTGTCTCCAAGAATAAGCACACCTCAAACTAACACAGTTCCTATCAAACCTTTGATTAGTACTCCTCCTGTTTCATCACAGCCAAAGGTATGTATGTTTAACCTATTAGGAAAATTGGAAAAGGTCATGTTCTAAAAAACTTCAGGAAAATGATTTTGTTGTGTCTTAGAATAGCTATATTGTAGGAAAAACCTTCGAAGAATGAACTGTGCAGTGGTAGAGTGAATAATTAACTGAAATTTAATAGGAAGCTGTGCCATCTTTGCTACTCTTACGTACTGATTTTATTTTTTGATTTTGGGATTACAGACACTGAAGAACCAGATAAGGAACATACTTATAATTTATATAGAATTTTTTGACACTTGAGGAGATAAGAGAAAACCAGTTTTTTGCTTATTCCCACACCCCATTCTTTAGTTTAGAAGTGTGTTTCTATGGTAACAACTTCATTTTTGTGTTTTTATCACATTTATCATTGTTATCAGAATCAACCATACTTCGATTAATACATAAAAAAAAGTATTAGGGTTTTGTGACAAAATCTTGATCTTTTAATCTAAAATCCATTTTACTATGTTGTATTGTTTTTGTTTGAATAAAATGTTACGTGGGTGTCTACTCAGAGCTTAGAGCTCAGAGCTTTTCAACTTAGCTTAAGTTGAAAATTGCTGGCCTATTATTACTAGAATCTGAACAGGATCTTCATGCTGCAGTCAAATTTTATACCACATGTTTGAGTTTTGCCCAAAAATTCAAGAGCAAATTTGAGTTATATCATACTCTTTGCTTGGAGCTTACTGTTTCATACTGAAAGGTAGTAAGTTCGGCTCATACAAGTTGTGTTATTTTTTTCAAGTTACTGTAGAACATTGGACTGTTTGAAATTTCTATGCCAGAAATTTCTTTACTATAATCAGAAACTGATAATGCACTAAAGTATGTAGAGGACAACTTTTAAATTTTTATTTCTGGTTTAATCTCTACTTAAGCCATTTACTTGTTTATTTTTTAGGATCAGTATAGACTGAAGTTTTTAATTGAGTTAAGAGTTTTTTCACTGTATCACTGTCATCCCGTTATTCATCGATTTGCTCGAGCAGGCACCAGTAACGTCTGCATTCATCCTAGTCCTGAGGTTTTAGCAGCCTGTCCTTACTTGTCCTTCCCAGCAGTGCAGCATTGGAGGCTCTTTCAGGGTCATGGAAATGAACACATCATTGTTACTGTATTTGGCATATTGAATACACCACGGGAGCTTGCCAGGCTCTGCCCTGCGGGCAGGGTATTCTCGGTAGCTTACCGGGTTCTCCGAGAAGGAGAACTAGAGTATAAGGGGTCTAGTTCTTAGAGTCTTATACGCAGCCATGCGCTTCTGGGATCTTGGTTTTATACTCTCTGGATCTTGGCCATTGATGGGATTTCATGGCGCTGGGGGTAGTTTCAAGTGTAACTGTCTAGCTACTGGAAAATGGGAGATCTGGGTGGAGGAGGCCCAGTCCCAATCAGAGCAGGCTTGGAGATCTTGGCCCCGAGACCCACGCACCTGCATTCCTCTGCCGGTTCCTTCATGCGTGAGGCTCGTCCGAGCATCTTGAGCATGGCTGTGGCTGGGTACCGGAGGTCTGCGGCTGAGCTTGCCTGGGCGGGGAAGGAAACTCAGCCTGCCCCCTCCGAGGGACCCTGGTGAAGACAGCCTGGCATGCGGGCAGGCGTTTTTTATACTATGAAATTCCTTAGTTTGCCTTTATTTGAGCTACAACTCGGTGGTGCTCAGGTATCATTCCTGATGAAGCTCAGGGGGACCGTAGGTGATTGAATCCAAGTTGGCTGCTTGCAAGGCTGCAAGGCAAACACCTTAACCTATGTTAAGGTTAATCTCTGGCCCTGATTTTAGTTTAGAAGAATTCAATAACTTCCAGCAAAAACAAACTTATTCTTAGAACTCTTAAACTTATTTTCAGAGTGGTTTAAGAAAATGTAGTGAATGGTGACTATGTAAAATGAAAATGTAATGAGCCATGGAGGGGGGGTCATGTGACCCAGTGAGTGGTAGAGAATGTGCATCAAGTGTATAGACCATTCTATAGAATAAAGATTCAGTCTTCAAAAGATTTTGTGAATTCAATCAGCTAATCAGTGGCTGAATAAATAGCAGTACTCTTACAAAAAAAAAGATTCTGTGAGAGTATTTTGTCACCTCTTTTCTTCATTCCTGACCTGACCCCCCCCCCAAAAAAAAAAAACACAATTCTGCTGGTGAATGTGACTTAATCACAGATGGGCCTTTAATTTGGGTTTTTATAAAGCTGCTTGTTTTCTCTCTGTGTCATTGGAATATGGCGTGTCTCTACCCATGGGTCTCTTAATATACGTCTGTAGGGTAAGACATCTCTTTTAAAGGCAAAGAAATTTTGTATGGGTCAGTGTTTGTTGCCTTAAGAGATGGCTTGATATATTCTCTCCTTAGATGATGTATTGCCATGATGTAATGAGAAGTCCAAAAAGGTATATTTGTTAGCAAAGAAGCAATAGAAGCAACAGTGCTGACAGCTAATCTGCTAGGGGTTAGAGCTGAAGCTCTTAAGCTATTCTAATAGCCAATGCAGTATTAGAAAGAAAATGGGGCTAAAACTGAAGAAAACCAGTTCTTACCTGATAATGCAACTGGACCACATTTTATAAATAAATTGTATCTTTTAAAACTTAACTCTTGGGCCATTTAGTTCCAATGCTCTGGAGCATCATGCTTGGCATATGAAAGCCCCAGATTGATTCCTGGCATCGTCTCCAAGGTTCCCCAGTGCTTGCAAGATTAAAATAAAAGAAAAAATACTCTACTAATGGCATGGCCTTTTGATTCATTTGTTTCCCCCTTTTTGGAAAAAGTTGGCTCTTTGGTTTTACAGTGTTTAAGATCATTGACTAGACTTGCCCTGTGGATCTGTAGACCTGTTAAGGACCTTTAGTTTTTTACATAAGTAAACATGTTTATTAGTAATTTTATAGAGCAGCTCTTGTTATCTTAAAAACCACTGAAAAATAGAAATAGAAAGTTTCAATGGAAGAAGCTTTGCTTTAATCTAGTTTTCATTCTGAACATATCATTGTTTATTTCAACCAAATTTTGACGTTTCAGGTTAGTACTCCAGTAGTTAAGCAAGGACCAGTTTCACAATCAGCAACACAGCAGCCTGTAACGGCTGAAAAGCAGCAGGGTCATGAACCTCTCTCTCCTCGAAGTCTTCAGCGGTCAAAGTAAGTTCATTTGGTATATTGAAACAACATCATTTTCTCCCCCAACCCCTCAAATATAAATATGGGATATTGCTTTCTTAAAATATTAGAGATGTTTTTATAATCAATCTTTGAAGTTGAATAACCTAATTTTATATATTCAGTAATTTCCAGAGGCAGATCTTATGACAAGTAAGATTGTTGTCTTTTATAGTGAAACAGGTTATTTTGAAAAACAACTTTTCAGCAGAGTCTGTCTATCTTGGTCTACGAGGCATGGAAGTACATATAATCTGATAATACTATCATTTGTTGGAAAATTACATAATTTTAACTCCATGTGACTAATTTTACACTGGAGCGTATTGATAAAGTAAATTGATCTTACATCTTAAACTATATTTCCCAGTGGGGCATGCAGTCTTTCCTAAATAGTTTCTGCTCTAACCCTAAGAAGATTCCTTGTCAGCACTGTTGTTTCTGTCGCATCTTTGCTTGAGTTATTTGATTGATACTTATTTCATGCTATGAGGTGGCAAATAATGTAACTTTTTATTTTATGAAGAAGCATTTCAAAACAATACATGCAAATGAGAATTGTTCCCTTCACCTCAGGAAGCATCTCCCTAATGTTGCCATTACTTGGGACATTTTTGGAAATTCTTAAATGTTTTTTAAGGCATTCACCATTACTTTAAATACTAATAGGGTAAATCCTCTTTATCTTTTGGGAGCTTTAGATTTGAAAAATAAGTTCGTTCAGAGCCAAGTGTGGTGTCACAGGTAGGCTAGGAAATCAACTTGGGTCACTAAATGTTTGGTTCTCGCCACCACATCGCCAAACTATAACCCAGCTGTACAGTTAGAAAAAGAAGACCATTTTCAGTGCTCCTTTTTACTCTTATTTTGCCACTAAATTTATTAATGCTATCAAAAGATGCCTATGTTTGACTTTATAGTATTCACCCAATACTTTTTTTAGGCCATGTATTTTCCTTCAACTTACCTACAGATATTTAAGATTGAATTCTCAGATGTGCCACATTATATACAACTCAAAATGAGATCATGTCTTATATTCTTAGTATTTGGTGATATGCGAAGACAACAGAGTCTGGTCTTAAATTGAATTGGACATGAACTCCACCCACCTTACTTTTTTTTTTCCATTTTTTATAATTTTATTTGTTGAATCACCGTGAGAACAGTTGCAAAGCTCTCGGGTTTAAGTGTCAGTCATACAATGAAACACCCATACCCATTCTCCACCACCAAAAACCCCAGTATACCCCATCCCACACCCTCTGCCTATCTGTGGTGCAGATTTCCACATTACTCTCTCTCTCTATTTTGGTCACATTAAATATTTTGGCACCAGACCCACCATTATTATTTGGGACTTTACCCCAATACCTCAGATTTGCTGAAAGGGCAACAGTAGACAATTTGTTTTCTATTGCTGGTAAAGAATAACATATGATGTAGTGTGGCTACATTTGTGGCCGCAATATTTTGAAATTCAAAATTTTAACACTTAAATCTGGAGGGATTTCTGCCAAAACCTGCTGGGTTCCGAGATTTGTTCCTGAGTCTCTGGGATCATGGCCGTTAAGCAGCTTGATCAGGAGCCAGAGAGGCGGTGCATTGGCGACAACTCTGGGTCTCAGTTGGGATGGGGAGAAAAGGGCCAACTCCACCCCCATCCCATGAGACCCTGCGTGTCTCGTCACTGCCGGCCCAAACCTGACTGTCCAATGACCTCTGGTGGATTGCGGCCACTGAGACGCCAAGGGGAGCAGGTGGAGGGACAGCACCCTTTTCTCCCTGGGGTGGCCCGGTGATGGTAACCAACTGTGGGGTCCAGACGCGTTTCTGCCAAAAGCCACTTGGTTTTGAGATTTGTTTCTGAGTCTCTGGGATCATGGCCGTTAAGCAGCTTGATCAGGAGCCATAGAGGCTTTTCGTGGGCAGCAACTCGGGGTCTCGTTGGGGTGGGGAGGAAAGGGCCAGATCCACTCCCATCCCGTGAGGCCCCGCGTGTCTCGTAACTTCGGGCCCAAGCCTGACTGTCCAGTGAACTCTGGAGGACGGTCGCCACCGTGCCGCCAGGGGGAACAGGCCAAAGCACGAAGCCTATTCCCACCTGGGTTGGCCCAGCGCCTGTAATGTACTGCAGGGACTGGATACGTTTCTGCCGAAAGCCGCTGAGTTTCGAGGTTTGTTTCTGAGTCTCTGGGATCATGCCCGTTAAGCAGTTCAATCTGGAACCAGAGAGGCCAGGCCTCCAATTATATAGCTCAGGAATGTCTGTAGTACCTAGAAACTGCTGCTTTTTTTTTTTTTTTTTTTTTTTTTTTTGCTTTTTGCTTTTTGCTTTTTGCGTTATACCTGGCGACGCACAGGGTTTCCATCTGGCAGTGCACTCAGGAATTACTCCTGGCGGTGCTCAGGGGACCATACGGGATGCTGGGAATCAAACCTGGGTCAACTACGTGCAAGGCAAATGCCCCATCTGCTGTGGTATTGCTCCAGTCCTAGAAACTACTTTTAAACACACTATACATGCAATTCTTTTTTTTTTTTTCCCTCCTGCTCTTCCCAGTAGCCAGAGAAGTCCGTCACCTGGTCCAAATCATACTTCCAGTAGTAATGTATCAAATGCAACAGTTGTACCACAGAATTCATCTGCCCGACCTTCGTGTTCATTAACACCTACGCTAGCAGCACACTTCAGTGAAAATCTCATAAAGCATGTTCAAGGATGGCCTGCAGATCACGCAGAGAAACAGGTATGTTGACATGATTGATGATTTACTTAAACAAGATTACATTATAATCTGTTTTTCCTTTGGATGATCAAATGAGACTCAGTTCTATTAAAAAAAACTCATCTGGAGACTAATGGGATAGTACAGGACACAAGGCACTTGCTTTACTTGTGGCACAGCATTCTGGTGTGTCCCCAAAACCCCTGTCCCACCCCAAAACCTGCTTGAACCACTGAATTCAAGATATATTTCAAATAGTCAGTTGGAGTCATTTTATAAAATACATGATTTATATTTAGAGGGCTTTTGTAACTTTTTGTAATCTCATAAAACATTAAATATAGTTCCATAAAATGTTGTTATACAGTTGTCATTACTGCTAGCCTGTACAGAGGTCTTGTGTGGCTCAAGAGGCCCTACGGTCAAATAGACTGTTCTAAGGCTACCTGGTTCAGTAAAGTGTTGTAGCTCAAAAGCAGATGTTGGGGTTTTTTTTCCCCCTTCTCTCAGCCAGTCATTCTGATTATTGTAGATCCTGTTAGTATTACTCATTCTCCTGGTCATCCAACTAGACTAGCAGGTAAAAATTAGAAAGTATAATTTTGCTCTGGGATGTACATGAGAGCGCTGAGGACATCGTGGTGACTTCTTTGGCCTCTCTTTATCAGATAATTGATCATCCGAAAAATTTCATGTAAAGTCACATAGATACATTGTGTGTTTAAACACAAAAACACAGCCCCTTTATCAGTGTTACACCTGAACTTGGTTTTGCCTGACCCCCTTATCAACCACAGGTCATGAGTCCTTCTATTCTAATATGGTACTATCAAAGGAAACACATTACAATGTAATCTTATTTAAGTAAGATTCTACTCTGAAGTTTGGTTTCTTTTGTATGCATTATATTTTATGACTTCTTTATGTAGGCATCAAGATTGAGAGAAGAATCCCATAACATGGGAAGTGTTCACATGTCAGAAATTTGTACTGAATTAAAAAATTTAAGATCATTAGTTCGAGTATGTGAAATTCAAGCAACTTTGCGAGAACAAAGGTAAGTATTTTACTAAAAGTTCTTTTTTCATAATTAAATCTAAGACCTAGTAATGTTAAAACTTAAAGTTGGCCTTTTTATATACTTTTCATTATTCCATAGTAATAAATCTGATGAGTAATTTTTATTTCATTTTTTTCTTAGGGCTGGCAGGGTGGTTTACCTTGCACACAGCCAACCAATGTTCTGTCTCTGACATCTCATATGGTCCACCCAGGAGTAATTCTTGAGCACAGACTAATTGAGTCACCCTTGAACGTCGTAGGGTGTGGCACAAAAACAAAAAAGATCTTTTTTTCTTAGTATTTTGTAAATGGAATTTTGATTGTAACTTAATTACAGTCTTACACAACTCTACCTTACACACCCTAAAGAGTAGGACTTTAGTGTGTCATGTGTTACAGTTGAAATTCAACCCAAAATTTTGATCATTAATAGGTCTTTTGGAAATCATGCAGAGAACTTAATTTTCCAGCAATCTTAATGATGCAGCTTTGTTTGTAACTTTACACACTGTAGTTGTATTAAGCCATGTTCAAGTGTAAGCCATTGGTGGCCCATGCCAGCATTAACATTTTGTATTTTTTTGTGTGTTCTATTTTTTAATTTGTATTCCATTCAGACATTATACACTTAATTTTTACATATCTGTTGCAAAATCATGGCGAACTTGATTTCACAAACTACCTATATAAATCACTTCCTCACATGTGGAGTTAATCTTGTCATGAACCCGTAAATAAGTATTTGATTAACACCAAATCGGGATTTACAGTAAACTTGGAAAAGGTTTTCTTCTTTAACTTTTTAAACACTAAAATAACCAGATGTCATTCTTAATAATAACCTAGAAATTTTTTTTGCTATGGAATCGATCTGAAAGTGGTTCTGACATAAAATCCTGTTTGCACTTTTGAGAATATAGTGAACAGCATTTTTAACCAATCTTTGTGTATTTAAGTTAATTGAGAAACTGTTATGAAACATCTTACATTTGCAATCCAGATATGTTAAAATAGAAAAACTATATTTCATAGTTTTTCTCAATTCTGGATTAATAGTCTTAAATAATTATGTAAAATAGTTTGATGTTTATTTAAACAATTCTTTTCTTTCAGGATACTATTTTTGAGACAACAAATTAAGGAACTTGAAAAGCTAAAAAATCAGAACTCCTTCATGGTTTGAAGATGTGAATAATTGCACATGGTTTTCAGTACAGGAACTAAAAATCTCTTGCCCAATCTTAACATTTTTGAGCTGCATTTAAGTAGACTTTGGACCGTTAAGCTGGGCAAAGGAAATGACAAGGGGACGGGGTCTGTGAGAGTCAATTCAGGGGGAAGATACAACATTGATTTGTAAAACCCTTGAAATGTAGATTTCTTGTAGATGTATTCTTCACGTTGTAAATATGTTTTGTAGAGTGAAGCCATGGGAAGCCATGTGTAACAGAGCTTAGACATCCAAAACTAATCAATGCTGAGGTGGCTAAATCCCTAGCCTTTTACATGTAAACCTGTCTGCAAAATTAGCTTTTTTTTTTTAAATTTGGGGGGGTTAATTTATCATTCAGAAATCTTGAATTTTCAAAAATTCAGTGCAAGCACCAGGCAATATGTGTCCAAGGATACGATTTTTGAACCATATGGGCAGTGTACAAAATATCATGAAACAACTGTTTCTACACACGCACCTGATCGAACAGTGCTTCTCCATTTGTTTTGCAGAGAAATGTTTTCCATTTCCCTTGTGTTCCATTCCCTTTGGAAATCTTGATCTGATTTTATCCATTTTTTAAGGCTCCTCTTTTTCTCCTTTCTTAAGGCACTGTTGCTATGGCACTTTTCTATAACCTTTTCATTCCTGTGTACAGTAGCTTACAATTGCAGTGATTGAGCATAACCCACTTGTTTGTATAAATTATTGAAATCCATTTGCACCCTGTAAGAATGGACTTAAAAGTACTGCTGGGCATGTGTGCTGAAAGTACATTGATTGCTCAAATATAAGGAAATGGCCCAATGAACATGGTTGTGGGAGGGGAAAGAGGAAACAAAACTAGTCAGATGTGAATTGTATCTGTTGTAATAAACATGTTAAAACAAAAACAAAAATTGTTACTTTTCTTTTCCTTCGGTCAGTGCATATTAGAATTTTGAACTACCTGGGGATTCTCTGTCAGAAATATTCTTGTTGAATATTTTTACTTAATTAAAGTAATTCCTTAAGGAAGCTTTTGTTTAAGTCTCTTAACAGGAAATTGTGTATAAGATATTTAAGGAAATAAATATGAAATTCAACAAGAATGATTAAGTCACTTCCCAAGTGGTTGTCCTTTGTTAAGCCCTGGTTTACCTGTCTTGCTATTATGACATTTCATTTTGAAGGATGTTTGTGTTGTAGTTAACTGTTCAAGTCTGGTGCTGACTGCTGTTCTTAGCCATCACAAAACGCTAAATTTGTGTAATTGGAGCTTCCTGCTGTTACCCGGAGATGGTCGGAAAGCTCAGCTTTGTATATTGTTTCCTAAAGTATATTAAAATAAAAGAAGAAACTATTGCTACTATAAATTTACCTTGGCTTTTTTTTTTCCCCTCTGCTAAAATATTGGTCACATGGCCTTAGCATGACACTGCCAGTATTATAACAGATCACAAAGGTTTCTTTATGCAGGAAAGAAAAAACCTTAATTTAAAAAATTGTACTCAATTTAGAGACTTTGTGTTTTGTCTGTTGAGGCAGATATATTCATGTGCTTTCAGAACTGCCAGCACCAAGGGCTTATTTTGTGTTGTTAGACAATGTTATTACATTCTGGGATACTAGAAATTTTAAGTTGTTTTTGTGTTTTGAGCCCAAAGTATAAAAGATAATGCTGAGACTTGCAACAGATTTTAAAGATAAGCTGTAAGCAATAGTATGGATATTTCCTTTAAAATGTTCCAGTGTAATTAAGAACCAAAGTCTACTGGAAGCTGATTTTTTAAATTGTAACTTGGAAATACTTTTAAAATGTAAGAAAAGACATGTCACAAAATCTTATCGTCATGAAATGTTCATACTTGTGTGAGATTGTTGACATTTGCTGGATTTGATTAGTGCATGTAGTGAAACTCCAAGCTATGTTAAGCAAGAACCCTTACTCATGAGTCCTGTATCTTTCCTGGAGAGAAATAAGCAATTTATGCTATAGTAGGCAAATTGTCCTGATCAGATGGCAGTTTGACTTTTGATACAAGGAAATTCTAAGTTTGATTTGCTAATAGTTTATTGTTCTGTCACCTTACTCCTTTGCTTTAAAAAATGTTTACATCCTTAAATGAATCACTCACATATGTAGTAAAAGATGCCTCATTTGGAATTTCTTGGTGAATTTTTAAACACAAAAAATTAAAAGTTTTGTGGAAATATTTTTACAATATTTGATTCACTTATTCTTTAGTAAATTCTTTTAAATATTGCACTTTAATACAGACGTGTTATTCAGCTACCACTAACCTTGAATAACCAGGAATATTTATTAAAATAGGCATATCTGGAAATATTCTTATCTAGTTGATCTGTTGTCATTATTTTGAACATGTATCTCATTTCATTTGGCACCATGGTTCAAATAATTTGCAACCAGAAGTACAGATAGCCCCCTAAGGAAACCTCAGGGTTTTTATGTTTCTCTTTTAAAAGAGACAGTCTTTAGTCAAATCTTTGAAAACTAATACTGTAATAAAATGTACTTTGTGGAGATGTGTCTCTTAGAAAGGCTTTACCCAAAAGAACCAGCTTCTCTACTTTTTCCTTTGTTTTTCCTATTAACTGATTTTTAAAACTTGGACTAAATACAGAAAATCCATGCTTCACCTTTTTAAAAATAGTCCAAATGAATGATTTTGTCTTCTAAATTTTATATGTTTTCACACTTGTTAAGTCTTGGAAAGGAGGTGCTTAAAACTTTGCAAAGAATGAATTGTTAACCCATTTCACAAACAATATATTGTTCTGTTAAAACAGGACTTCAGCTTCAAGGATCATTTCAAAGGGGAGGGGGCAGGGCAGAGGGCGCCGAAGTAATTCACTGCAAACCAGAACTATTACTGTAGTTCAGAATTTAAAGCTACTGTATTTAGATGTGGGGTTTGAATATACAGTTTCTTTTCAATACCTGTAAATATGGCTATATTCTTGTATTTGTACTGGAGTGTACAAAATGACACTAAAAAGTAATAAATATGTTTTGACTATATTGTGCAGTTATTTCAGAACAATCTGCTTTGAAAATCTTAGTGCCTCATGTCCATGAGTAAGAAAACCGGATTGCTGTTGAAATTTAAATAGCTGTCATTGATTTCGGTCGACCCAATACAATATCTAACTTGGGGATCTTTGTCCAATTTTAATTTGCTGTACCGTATTTTTTCTGAATTTTGGGCAAGTCCTAAAATTCAGTCTACCCCAGTAGGTCTCATCCAGACCAATGGTTTTACAAATCCCAGTGTTTTGGGCCAGAGAGATAACACACGGGACAAGATGCTTCAGTTGTATGCAGCCTACCCCAACTTGACCCCCCGAGCACCTCAAGGAATGACCCTGAAGCACAAAGCCAATATTGCTGGTGTGCTCTTTCCCCCACCCCCACCCCAAATTATCACCAATCTTTCCTGACCTTCCAATCACACTTTAGAGAATTTATCCTAGTGGGGCTAGTTCTCAGAATTTTTATACTTGGGTTCCATTTTCAGTGTCATCAAAACCTCAGTTCCTTGAGTCCCAAAAAAGGAATTGGCCTTTGTTTTTATCACCTTTGAATTATACTTGCCACAGATTGTATTTAAAATATATTTGGAGAAATATATATTGAAAAATATATTGAGAAATCCCTCTACTTGCATTTATTTACTCTTTTAATCCAATCATTTTCAACTCCACCTCTGTTGCTCCGAAGTCCTAACCTTTGTCTTTGCTTGCACACATCTTCCCTCACAGTCTGTTCTCCATACAACCACACCTGAGTGAAGTGTTATTTTTCAGAAATTCAAAGCTCCTACTGACTTAAGGTTTGCAAAGCCCTAAGTACTACCTCATGTTTCATCCACCAATTTCTCCTTTGCTCATTGCAATACCAGAGTTCTGCAGTTTTCCTGAACATCCATCTATAAGAAAACCCTCCATCACTGTTCAAGTATTGCTGTTCTCCCTAGGAAGATAAGAAAACAGTAACTTCCATTTTTTTTTAAAAGGGCAATTATTGGTTACTAAAATCTAACTCCAAACCTATTTTAGCCTTAAGAGACCCGTTTCTAAGGAAGATGAATTGATTGTGGGTTATAGAGCCTAATACACACTTCTAAGGGTAAATAAACCAGTGAGCAGCAATGACAGTGCTATGGGATAAGTTTTGGGAGCTGAGGCAGTAGAATGAGACAGCTTCTGAGTGGGTATAATGAGGTGATACATGGTAAGTTGGATCCCTGGTTTCCAAGTTCCAACATTGGGATCCCGTAGTAAAGTGGGGAGGGCATTTGGCTTTCGAGGCCGACTTAGGCTCAATCACTGACGTCCTATATGGTACCCCGAACACTGCCAGGAGTGATTCCTGAATGCAGAGCCAGGAGTAAACCCTGAGCATCTCTGGGTATGACCCAAAAAGTTTTAGCATTTTGATAGTCAATCTGTGCTCCAGATGACGTGTTGACATCTAACCAGACCCCAAAATTGTAGAGGCAGAAAACATTACAGTAACATTCTGAGATACTGTCTACTATAACCATACCCACGTTAGAGGAAAATGCCTTTTTTTAGAACTCCCTGCCTTTGTGATGGAAAGTTTGATATCTTTCAAGTATATAAATATTAAAATATATAAAATCAAATTCCATTTACATTTTGAGATATATGGAGAGGTGCTCCCATCAACTAGGTGATCAGAGTTTTGCAAGGTGAAAATAGTTTAAATACTTTATCGGTTTATTTCCTTAAAAAAATATTCCGTAAGCTGGAGAGATAGTACAAAGGTTAATTTGCTTGCCTAGCATGTGTCGGCGGCTGTGACACTGATGAGAATCTAATTCAAATTCCTGGATCACCTGTGGTCCCCAGCACTACCCGGGTGTGACCTGATGAAGCTGGATAGAACACAGTGGGTAGGGCGCTTCCTTTGCGTGCAGTTGATCCAAGTTCAAGTCTCCGGCATCCCATATGGTCCCATGATCCCTACCAGGATTGATTCCTGAGTGCATGGCTAGACAAAAAAGCCCTAAGCACTGGCCAGATGTGGTCCAAAAACAAGTGGTTTTGTTGTCTTTTTTTTTTTTCCCCCTTGTGGATGTCTTGGCATTCCTAAAATGTCTTCTTAACAAGGTAATTTTAGAAATGCACATGATGCGGGGTGGGCAGAGTACAGTAAGTCTTTGCATATGGTCAACCTGGGTTTGATTCCCACCACTTGTTCCTCTAAGCCCCAAAAGGAGTGGTCCCTGGAGCCATGGAGCACAGACACATGTGCCCCACCCTCCAAAAGAAAACAGAAAGCATGACTGTAAGAA